AGCCTCATCAGAGTTAGGGTAGCTTAACGATAGCAAAAACCCTGATGTACTTCTTATATTAGTCGGCCAAACGCGTCCCCTAGGCTGGTTTGGGATGAATTATTGTCTTTCCCTAGCAAAATTTATGGCCACGGCTCTACCAAAACAGAAGCTTAACATAATAAAATACTGTTAACTACTACTACTGCACACTAACCTCCCGCTGAAACAACCGGTGACACGTATGTGCTGGATCAATCAAGTGGCTAATTCCTTCAAAAAATACTTTTGCAGGAAACGACGCCAAAAATGTTATGCAAGTTGGAGATGCTCTCATAAACACTAAATTACATGTTATTTGAACATGAAAGCAGAGAAGAGCTGCAATTAGCGTCGTTGTTGCGGTGGCCTTTAAAGCAAGTGAATGTAACTCAGAGAAATCGAACATCACAATCTTCAGTAGAACAAGCACAACAAACGAAGAGATTATAAAGGGTTCTGCTAAAGTCGTCAACTCCATATGTCGTTCGGGGGAATAACTACCGCTGACGTTAGTCACGCAGTGTTAGGCTTATATGACAACATACCGGCTAACGACGGTGCTCATTATCCTTACGTTAATCAACAAGTCTTTCTTTTTCGCAATGATAAAGCTCAGGCAACTTGAGGGAAACTATTTCGTTGATGAAATGTCTTAACCATTGACCTTTGTGAGGTGGTTTGATTTAAGAAAGAGATAATGTGAAGTCCTCGCGCCGAAATGGATGCCAAATAATTGCCACGGCGTGATTAATTAATTGCAGAGCATCTGATACTTTGATAATTAAGCCTCGGGCTGCTGAAGCCTCCATCAAACTATAATCTCAACCAGTGATAAAGGGAGATAGCATGGTTTCCGAATTTCAAAAGTGCACAAGACGTAGATATACCTAAAGCATTGAAGTCGTAGCATATGCCACATATATTTCGGCAGCAGTCGCGAAGTGTACTCATAGCCCCCGTTCTTCCTACCAATTTAGGAGGGTCCTCCACCTGTTTAAGATTCAGGTCGATCACCTGGCGTTCTCCGTCCCAGTCTCCTTCACGAACGCCACAATTTACAAGCGATAGCCAGCTGCAGGCCATCCACCCTGATGCACGCAGTTACCAGGTCATTATGAAGTCATCTGTGACAGCACAGTAATGAGTTACGAGCATGTAGCTTTTAACTACAGAACGCCAGAGTCTAGGCTTCCATATTAGTATAACACGAGCCACAAGCGAAGAAGGATCTACGCTATTTTAACGTCAGAAAAAAATAGATGTTGGTGGCATCTATTTATTGTGGTTTAAAACGATTGGTGGCTATCAAATGTCAGCCACCAACATTCTGTGACTTCTGGGTTGGTTTTTGACCTGGTAAAGATTTAATTACTCTTCAGTGACTTCAGAAAACTTCTGATGACAACCGAAACGATGACGAACTCCCACACAGGCGACTCTCGAAAACATGTCACGGAGTAACTCTGAGCCACGGCCTCAAAAACATAACGACTTGCAGGTTGTTGGACCACAACAGTTCGTGAGCGTTAGATGTGCTCTAAAGACACGTAAAGCGGTATCTGATATTGCTCAACCAAGTACAGTAAGCTGACAGCTGCGGTCTGTCATCTACGCCCTGTGGTCGGGTCTCTTAGCATTGTTGCGCTACCTCGGTGGGGCAGAGGTCCTTCTTTGTTCAGCCCTGAGCTTCCGAGGAGACAATTTTCTGTGTTGCCAGAAGTATTGATAGTTTCTACACGACTGCTCTCATCAAAGAAGACAAATGTAGAAGTTAGAGTAAATTAGGCCGTTGAGAGAAGGGGATGGCTGAGTTCAGGGAGTGGAAGAGAAAGGGAAAAATGCATACATATACATATATATGTACATAATAAGAGAAGCGAGGGGCTGAGGCATACTCGGAAACGGATAATAAGCAGTCCGGTGATATAAGCTTCCGGGACTTCTAATAGCACACTGTTCGGTTAAACAAATGAACGCTTTGGCCAAATCACAACTGGTAAAAAGAAAGGTCCAATGTGGGATTCGACAGGTCAGAATCTATGTGCTCAGTTTATTTATCTCTTTGTTCAGACTACTCGTTAGCAAACACACATAACTGGAGTACAACCAGACCCATCTATGAGGAGTTTCGAACAGCATCCGTCAAATCACTAGCAACCACACCTAGATAATGTCGTAGCCGGAAAGTGGAAAAATCAAAAAGACACTACAACTGACCCAAACGATAAAATCCCTCTATCGTGTACAAAATGGTTTCCTCAAAAGTTGATGATAATCAGTGATCCAAATGGCCCAAAAATTGTTAACAACGTCCTTAGCCGGAGGGAAACCCCGAGCAGTAACTTTGAAGGCCTTCAAATCACCAGAAGGTAGTTTCAGAAGAGAGAGAGGTATAGAATCCCAGTATTCTACGTGCATCCGTCGGAAATTCCCCATTGGTGGGAGGAAAAGGATAAAAGCTAACCCTGAGCCCTCTTCCTGAAATCGGGTGCCCAGCGAAGTAGCCTACAGTTGAGCCGTATGCCCCCACCTCTTGCCCGGTTCACATTACCGTCATGAAATTTCCTGGAACTTGTCATAGTTGCGGCTACTTGTGACGTCAAAATCCGTTGAAAACTGTAGAACTAAGTGATGTGTAACTGTTAGGGATGCTTCTCACGCTCTCGTTGTCCTTGTGGTTAGTTACCTGATGGAGGCACGTAGATGATGGGTGTCTTAGTCGAATGGCCACTTGTTTCAAGTGAATCGAATGTAGTCAAAATATGCGATGAATTTTAGGCATAGGGCCATCTGACTTGGCGACCTAGCAGCTCTTCTCGAAGCCTAAACTTTTGATGAAATTATGGGACATGTTCCTTATTTGTTGAACCCAACGCGCACGATGGTGAAAGAATAACTGACAGGTGGTTAAAGCATACACGTCCCTAATTATCTCCAATCGCCGCTGGTCTCTGTTTTCTCCTAGTAAGGCTCGCAAGTTGTGGATGCTATTTCCAGTGAGAAATTTAATTGCAGCCAAGGTTTTCAGCACAGCACTGAATCAAAAAATATTTATTCGACAAATCGCAAGCAGCATTCACTTGCTGGGGGAGTCTGAGTTGCTATGGCGGGGATGAATCTCGGAGGAGGACGAGCAGCTGGGTGAAAACGATAGAGGAATGACAGTCGAAAACCTTGAGTTTCCCCCTGGCAGACATAAACGAAGAGCCATGACATTATTAGATTTTTGAATCATTTTGCATGCCAGTACAGCTAGATTAACTTTTTTTCACCAGTCTGGCTCTTGAAGAGCTCGAGGCGAGTAATGAGGCCTGGGAATTTTAGTCGTAAACGTCAAATCGAGTCTATAAGATACGCTTGAAGATGACAGGCTATTTTTGGAGGAATTATACAGTCCCTCTCAGTTTACTTTTGTCCTGTGCTTGTGTGGTTGACGTCTGGCAGACTTCAAGCAACGGTGGTGGGGTCTCATCCTGAAACGAGAGCTATGGAACTAGCCTCAGGTTTATATGAGCTATGATCAAAGTGTGACCGATTGGCGTAAGATTTCGGGAACCGAGAGAAAAGTTGACACGCGACACAGGTTATACTTGTCAATTTCAGCGTGACTGAAATGAAATAATTCCGCGCTATGGGAAACAATGATCGTGCAAACAGGAGCAAATAATAAGACTTAGTACACGTCCTTGAATGCATTACCATACCTTTATTGCATCTTTGATTGTCTCTGCCCTCTAGAAGCTCGGATCAGTTTTTCTTGTGAAATGTTAGCATTATTTCGTCCCAAACAGGCTTAGAGTTGTACGAGTGCGACCTGAATCTAATAATCCCTGGTCGTTCCAGCAGGCAATGAATCGTTTTTGAGTTGGTGAACCGGGGAAATTTTTCACTTTTTTTATTGATGTCTTCTTTCGCTTAGTAGGATAAATGCAAACCAGGGTTACCACGGTTAGTTTCCTGTCTACTGAATGGAGGCTGAAACATTTTAAGAGGGCATCGAAAAGAGTGACATGGGCACCAGCTGAAGCTTTCAGTGAAGTGTGAACGCAATATCTTCACCGACCAGGTTCGTTCACACTGAGTAACTGAGAGAAAGGCGTCGCTTAATGAAGGATTTCAGGGCGGTTCACCAAATTAAGCCATTCTTCTGAGTTAACACAGTGTGTACAGGATTGAAAGCTCTGTAGATGTCCGGTTAAGAAACTACGGTAAAGAGCTAATCAAATGGTTAAATTTCAATTCCACTCCGGAGTGAAGCGAGATGCGTCAGAATATTTACCAGTGAACTTCGAGTCAATAGCAAATTAATATATTTACAAAAATGGATCACCAGCCTCATGCATCAACAATCTCCGGCAGTCTACTTATCACTCATTGACTGACCGTCTCCAGTATCTTAATAGCTTTCCGGTAATACCCTCTAATTTTAGCTTTCATTTAAACCACCCAACTTGCTGCTCTTAGGTTTAAAAATTGGAATTCTCTCCTTTTCTAAAACAAACCCACTCTAGAACATGCATCTCAAGCATGTGTACAAGAAGAGATCACTACAATTTTACTGGTATTTGCAGAAGCTTGTAGCTGCTCTAATGTTCAATCCACGAGTGCAAAAGATCTATAAAGTAGATAATCATCGTATCCGAAGTTATACTCAGGAAAGCGGGAAGTGCCTCCACATCTCATAAAACAGTAAAACATGACTAGGTGAACTGACCTTCGAGAACTGATCACCGGGTTAGAAAGATGTGAAGTGCTCGCTACTTTAAAGTTAGTTGTGGTTGCATTTCGCACTGACCCACTTAAAGTGTTCTCACTTATGTCTTCAAGAACTAAATGTTCAGGTATTAGGTTCTTTTTGCTTTAAAATCCACCAAATATCTAAAAATTCTTGTCAGAAATGAAAACGGAGATGAATAAAAATTATAAATATCCGAGGAGCAATTCTCCTTTGGTTGCGCGACATGCTTTTGTTTCGGAAACAGCGCTTAGCACGAATGTAACCGTTGACCTTCACTATATTATTAGCCTGAATATTCACGAGTTACGGGGGTGCATAAAACGTATCTTGAGGTTTGTAGGGACAGTATTTTTATTGATTGTTGATAAAAATAGCTCAGACACGTCTCCGGGTTTTAATGAAGTATACGCTGCTGTATCTTACAAAGGTTTCTTATTTCACAGTGAATATCTCAGTAGATTACTCACGTATTCCATCAATCAAGGCATAGTACCAGAACGTCAGGATTTAGATCATATCAAGCCTGTGGTACTAAAATTTCCCACATGACCACTGAGAAATACCTGGGGCTAATACTTACTGATGAGCTGGATCCCTGATTCTAGTATCCAGAGATACCTTCATTACTGCACTTCATGCGCGAACACCTAGTTTCCCTCACTCCGGAACTCTTCCTGAAGCTGTGCAAAACCTATAAATGACATCACTTAGAGATCCGCAGCGTCATTGCACCACCATACCTGAAAAGAGATGCGAACCTACTGAAGAAAGTTCAACGGTTAGCAACGAAGGGTGTTATAACAATGAGGCCAAGCCCATAATAGGACAGGTTGAATTAAATAGGGATTCACTTTCTTAGCTACCATAGGCTACATGGCGACTTGATAAGGCCTACAAAATACTAGATAATCCAAGTCATCCGAACGGTAGTATCCTACTGAACAATAACTGCGACAATCCTCCTAGTCACCCCACGAGAATCGCCTATAAAGGGTGAAACTCATGTGGCCCCACCTTTTCTCTGTGTGAGTTTGTGGCCACTGGAACACGCCTGCCTAGATTGCTACTACTCCATGTGTTGACAGCTTGGAGAAGATGCTGGACAGCTGTGCAGTGACGCATGGCCTGGACCTGTCCAGCTGGAATCAGGACTCGATTGATACAACCAACCGATTCCACACAATGCAGCACAGTTAAACCTATACCGAATCTTTCGCACTGCTACTGTCACCACGAACCTGACTTAACCTCAAACTTCCTTGTTAGATGTCTAACCTCCAGTTACCACGCCTCCACTGACAGCATTGCTGTTTCTATTCTCCGTAATCTTTTCTATAATCTTACATGCCCCTTCTATTCTCTGAGACTTTATGATCTTACCCTGTTGATTAGGTTTTTCCTTATCTTTCTTATCTCGCCTGAATCTACCTAGGTTTTACCCTTCCCTTCCGTCCCGTTTTCCTTCACTACTTTTCCCTTCACACATCCTCTCCCTTGATTTCTCTGGATATCTTTTATTCTCTTCTGTCTTCTTTCCACAAACAGTCCGGACAACTGTCTGGCGACACGAAAGTTGAGGAACCTATCTGCACCATAGTCTTCAGAAAAACCGTACAATCCCTGCAAGTGTAACCAACGCCCAACAGCCAATTGAGCTAACCAGAGCTACAGACGAAGAGTGCGTGAACCTAGTTCATCGGTATCTGCCAATGGCCTAAGACCGTTCTCCAAGACCTATAAGCGTGCGCAAAGAAATCACTTGGTTTACACTAGCTCCTAAAAGGATATTGGGAGGGAGGTTAACAAAGCAACCCGACGAACTACAGGGTTGTGACTTTTTCCATACCTTCCAAAGTTGTGGATTCATTGATGTAAGACAATTTACACAACCGCTTGATATTCATCAGCTCCTTTTCACCCTACCAACAGGGTTCATGGAGACTGTTCGTGTAACACTAATCTACTAATTCCAGTAGATAGTTCAGCTAACATCACTGATCGTCAGAACAGAAAAGATATCATATCCTTCGATTTTTCTTGAGCATTTGACCGCATTAACAGCAGCTGTTTCATCTAAAGTAGAGGTTAAAAAGAATCAATTAACTGTTATTCAAGTGGATATCTCCATATTCAAGTGACCACTTCTTTAAGTTCCCAGTGAATTTTGACATGTCCAACGAAACAAGATTCGACTGTAGAGTCCTCTGCTTTAAGGCCTTCCTTACTCCTCTTTTCCATAAATGACTTGTTTCTGCAGATTTACTCTAAAATCCTCTTTACTGCTTATCTCAAGCTATGGTAAGAAATGAGAGAAAAAAATGAGTCTCATTTTGTAGGATTATTTGACTCCACGTCAATTTTGGGTAGTTAACAATGGACTAACCAATTATTGACAATGTTGGGTTATGCATATACGGTATGATGCGTCTAGCGCACCCAAACTAAGCGGAGTAGAGCTGAAGGCATGTTTGGCAGAAAAGGGTTTTGGAGTCTTAGTCCCCTACGACCTTAAATCCAACCTAACCGGGAACGTAATGCATTCGGTAAAAATCTGGCACTTGCGACCTTACGATGACTCTTCGAACAGTGTAATCACAGGCGTTCCCACCATATCTTTAACAGTTTCATTCGGTCTCACCTAGGATTTGGGACTACCGTCTTTCCTCGTTCACTTAAAATAGATAAGAATAATTTGGAACGTATCCAGAGACGCCGCACTAGATTCGTTCGGCGACTGATGTTCAAACCATACCAAGAACACGTTACAGTGCTGGATGTATATCCATTGGAATATAGACGAGTAAAAGATGACCTAATAATGACATAAAACACTAAAAAAAAACCAGAGGGCCCGCTTTGCCATTTGTTTAAGCTAAGCTCTATGAATCTTAAGGGGAACAGCCAGAAGTTATAACTTGAACATAGTAGGACAGACATCAGGCGTAACTCTTACTTCTTAAGATTTGTTAGGGCTTTGAGTGGTCTTCTCATAGAGACTGTTTAGGCTACATCAATAAAGTTATCCAAACAAAGTTGATGTCCACTTAAGGTCAACTTAAGCTTACAGACTAGGTGAATGAAAATTTAGTCCGTCCTTGTTTTTATTCGGTTTTGTACCTATGTTCGTTGGACACGGAAACTAGTGGTCCACTGATTTCAGGTGCTAAAGCCAGTTAAGCAAAAGCTATTCCGTCAACAACCATTTGAGATTGAGGCAAAACTCATTTTGAGATTTATTCTGATGTATGCGCATACTGTGCAAACATAAGAATACAGAAGGTACTGTTTCCACAATGATGTTAATAGTACGGGGAGAAACTACATTGATGGGCTGTGACAGGAGTAGCAGTTTTATGTTTTGAAATACTTCTCTTTTCGTTTTTTATCGCTTCTTCAGCCTTATTGTAAACTCTTATTGCAAGCATTTAGGTTTGAATTTCACCTCAAGAAGTTTTGTGTTTTTCGTTCATTATTATCATTGTTTTTTATCCATTGCTTCAATTCAGTTTTGTACATACGTTTCCCACTACAAAGCACTACTATACTTCCTCGCTTCGAAGTATAGCTCAATCGATTAGGTTCAATTGCAGCAGTTGGCAGAAGCTATCATTGTGGCTGTCGTAGTCGCTGTTTTCGTGCGTGTAAGGGTTTTAGATGTTACAACTGCAATGAGTTGTTCTGCTAATTGTTTATTGGTCTGTAACCGGCTGCCGAGGCCTATTCGTAATCTCTGCTTACTCGCCCATCAACTTCACTTTGGACGGTCAAAAAGATGAATCCTATCAGATATAGTCACAATAGCAGGGAACTTCAACACTCAAGGAGGAAAGCTGAGTGAATTGGAAAGGCATGTTAATAGAGGTATCTGCGGAGTTTTGTGCCAACAACGATGATCATCTGTTGCAGTTTTGTTCCGACAATCACTTGCTTCTGGTCATCACTAACTTCAAGCGCAAGGAGAGATATTGTCTCACATGGCGTCTTCCGACATCAACGATGGGCGCGAATGGATTACACTGCTACAAGCTATCGGTGGAGGATTCCCGTTACTTGTGGAGTAGGTGTTTGGATTTAGCTCACAAGTTAGTGCGAGCACATGTATCTGCGTCTTACTGGTTGTACGAAACAGGCGACAGCAAAGCCTGTGCGTGTTGGATTGGAAGATGAAAACGTGAAGTATGCATTTTAGGAGATAGTTAAGCACTAATCTGAATGTGACAGTAATGTTCATTCCGAGGAAGCCTGGCGTCTGTAGAAACAGCAGTGAAGACACTTTGGAACTTATATTCCAAGTTCGGTGAACGTCAACAAATTTTCGCAACGACATCCGAACTGACTGATGCTAGAGGACGTCCCAGCCGGCTCTGACCACTTTCACGAGCGAGACAGCTTAAACTTGAATAGACTGGGAGTCTTCAGAATAATGGCTAGCGTTGGTTAGTGACGAAATCAATAAAAATGGAGAAGGGATCGTTATTAGGTAAAGTCTGGCAACTGTTTAAGCTCATTAAGAATACCGGGAAGAGGAAGACTATGATTAGTGAAACCATCAGTGACAAGGATGACACACTGATAATCTTACAGAACACTTTGAAGTCCACTTCATCTGGCCCACAGCAAAGCTTCAGTTGCCCAACATCCAGTCCGAGCATAGATAAGACGTAGATGTTTGTTCTCCAACTCTTCTCAAAGTTGAGAAGGGTGTTTAGAACATGGAACAATGCAAAGCAGCAGGACCTGATGGTTTTCTACCAGAAGTTTTTAAGAAAGAAGATCAGAAATTATTGATTAGAATAGTGGGGCACTAAGAGGTGTATAGGAATCAGAGGTAGTGCTGGCAAACTGTTCTACTTTACTGATCGTTTCGGTCTATAAGGAAGAAGTCTTGTGACAAACATAGGGGAATCAGTTTGACTCATATCCTTTCAAGATTCTTGGGTCCGTAGTTATCCGATGCCTAACTGTAGCTTGGGAGCAACGAACTCAAGGACCAGGCAGGTTTCAAATCTAAACGAAGATGCATCGACCAGATTCTAACTGACATACTAACGGCCGATACTTACCATATTTCCTGACCTGAAGGTGGTATTCATCTCTCGACTGCGAGATGTGGTGTCAGCGTCTGACTGTGAAAGCAGTACCGGACACATATACAACGCTAATCAAAGCTATCTACTCAAACTCACACAGTCATGCAAGGGCTTATGTGGAGTTGTCATGCAAACCGACAGCAACTATTGGTGTCCACCAGGGGTGCCCACTGTCACCATTCCCACTTAATTTGGTCATAAATGTGCTAATCGACATTATTTTAAATATTTCTGACTTGATAGGGATTGATCTACGCCCTGGAGGTCATCTCGTCGACTTGCAGAGGATGTTGTTGTTCCAGGTGAAAACGTTGACACCATCCAGGGTCCTCTGAAAGGCGTGAACCGAAATCGGAGTATGTTTGACGTGTTTCACACTTGCCAAGTGTAAGGTGGTGGTGCAGGACTGTCTGCAACTACTCCTAGTTTAATGATAGAGGGTGAAGTGATAGAATGCATCGACCAATTCACTTACATAGGGAGTTGCATCAACTGAAACAAGTTGGTTGCCGACGAAATCTCAGCTCGGTTGCAGAAGGTCCATTTTGTATTTGGCAGCTTGTGTCATCTATGTCAATAAAACGTTCACAATTTACTTGTAAAATGAGGTGGTGAGGCTTTATGCTACTAAATAATTCCCCGTGAGAAACGAAGTTTTTCTAGAGCTGAGATAGGTCGCATATAATTTTTCAAGAGCTTACTGATTTCGTTCCTTTCTCATAGACTAATCACAACTCAGTTCGTTTGATATGCAAATCAAACCGAAGTTATGACTATACAGACTTGGCTATCTGCACGGTATTACACTGACTGATTTGCTTTCAGAAAGGAAGTTAGGCCAGATGCCAAAAAATACATATCATCCATTTAGTTTCTTGGTATGATTTCATGTCACATTCAACCCACCAAATGTTTTTTTGAAAATTGTTACTCATATATAGGTCGTTGAATTGGATTGGATTCTTTAATCTGTTCTAAACCAAGATTCTAAAAGATGTATTGTGTTCAACGGAAAATTAGTCACTCATTAGCCAGTCTACTTGCAAGTGTATCTTGTGCAGACATAGTATTAACTTGTGAGATTTTGTGATATGTATTGAGTTGTTTAACTTCCCTTTATTTGCATATATCCTTCCTATCTTCAGGCATAGCTTACCCATACGCATCAATGAATCCTGCTGAGCTTGAATTTCTTTCGGAAGAGGAAGAATTAAACGTCGTACCTAGGTTTAAACTGGAAGCTGTAAAGTTGCTCAACACTACTGTAAGTCTCATGGTTTGTGAAAGCCTAATCATTAGGCTCTAAAAATATTCCGTTCATTTCCCTACTATATTTCAGTAGTTATTTTCTATTCTTGTTTTTTGTATGAGTCGTGTGTAAAAGTGTTTTTATCCGACAAGGGTCCTTAGATGGTTAACAATCAGTAGTTATAGGTTTTAGATGATGTAATGAAAAGCCACCACTTAGGAGCGAATATAGTTACCTTTTATCCCATCATACAGCTTGTTACGTTATATTAGTCGTTTGCGTTCCACATACATTCTTGTTTACGCTAATATTTTTCTATTTATGTTGATTTACTATGTACAGCTACACAGCATAGTAACGTAAGCGTATGCGCTTATATACATTGATATATGTGCGGATCAAATTGCAACGCTACGCATTATCATAAAACGCAGCATAGGACCGCGATCAACTACTTACCTCAACTTCATCGACTTTGGAAAGGCCTTTGATAGCGTCGACCGAGAGATAATTTGGTGGCTGCTTCAGCACTACAGTTTTAGTGCCACAAACCTTCATCAACCTCATTCAGCAGCTATATGCTATATGGTTCTACATGCTACATGCCAAGTGATTACCAAGGGAAAGCTCAGGGATGCCTCTGAAGTGAAGATAGGAGTGAGACAAGGTTGCCTATCACAGCTAATGATCTTTCTGATTATGGTCAACTGGACTGGATCATGTAACAAATTGTGAGGAGCGAGAAGATGGACACACGCTGTTTGACCGGTGAAATGACCCTAGAAGATTTGCATTTCGCCGATGGTGATTTGTGTCTAATGTCGCAAAAACTCGAAGGTCCACGGGCGAAAACTAACAAGTTGGCAGAAGAGGCAGGGCAGCGATGACGGGACTCCCTTCAGGTGAACGTAGAGAAGACACAGGTAATGAAGATACCCAACCAACAACAACAAGCATCAATCACCATCAACGAGAGAAGTCTGAAGGAAGTTGTCTCCTTCACTTACCTAGGCAGCATCGTTTCAACTACAGGCGGTGGCACAGGCACAGATGGGGACGTAAAATCCAGGATCGGAAAGATTGCAAGACGCGCGTTCATTCGTGTGAAATCAGTGTGGAAATCCACTGTACTGTACTGCACTCAGCATGAAGAACGAGATTCGGATTTTCAGCACTGTCAGTCAAGTCGGTGCTTCTATGTGGTTCAGAGACCCGGCGCGTTACGAAAAGCATTTCCAACAAACTGCAGATATACGGCGTCAACAGCTGCCGCCTACGCCATACTGGAGGTCAGATGGTCAGAAAGAAGAAGCAACAAGAAACTTACCCTGGTAACGAGTCAACCAAGAACCTATCGCTCAACAAATATGCAGAAAGTGGAGATGGATTGGATTGGACATGCACTGCGAAGACCGTTTGGGGACATCACGCAACAGATCAGGCCCTCGAGAAGGAGCCAAATAGGAAATTACGAGTTGGGCGCCCGAGGGTGAGAAAGAGGAGATGGTGTAAGAAGAAGTGAAAGCTTATGGTGAGTCGTGGAGCCAGGTTAAAAAGACAGCAAGAAGGAGAGTGAAATGATGACCTGCCACTAAAGCTCAATGTTCCACCAGGAATCCAAAGAACAAATAATAAAATAGTAGATGTATATATGGCTTCAAAAAGAAGTGAAGATTATCGTGATTAGACTAATAATTCATGAAGTTTTATTTTCTAAATCACTCTAATGAAATGATTTCGTTTGAATTCCCGTATCTCATGAGCAGTTATGGACTCAAAAATGCAGAAAATTGTTGGGTTTCATTTTCATGCATCTTCCCGTAATGGTTTCTGTTACGCAAATGATATTCAAAAAATTGAGGATATATACGCTTAGTATCCTCTACTCTTTGAAAATGGCGTTGCATTCAGCCTTATGCTCTAAATGTATCTTTCTCTACATTATGTTTCGTAGATAGGGTATTACAGTTGACATTTTAACAACTAATTTGTTATTCAAACTTTACCGTTTTATTTAACTTGCCTACAAATCTTATGTCTATTCATGTTCTTTTGGTTCTTTTTACTTTGCTAATTTTTCATTTACGCTAATTAACAGAGTGATATGATGAACTATTATTTAACCTTCAGCTTTGCACAGCTTGCTTCTTTCTTCATTTTGTTTCTAAACACTCGTTCAACCTTATGATCAGTTTTAGCTTCAAATTAAATGCAAAAGGAACTATCACATTAGATAAACAGCATAGATTTTATGCGGGTAAAGTGAGTAGATTTGTATGAATGTATTATTCCTGACCGTTAGTGATTTTCGTCGAAACTCATTTTGAAAAACAATTTTGGCAGTGTTAATTGGTTGAAGGCAATCAACAAGAGACCATTTTTGATTGCGGTTTCATGCTTGCTAGCACTCATCAGCAAGGAGTATCTACAACCCCAGGGAATTGATACCCGTTACATATTCGAACCCGCGTCACCTATGCTGCATTCAGAGACCCTCGTCCCTGATCTGTTCTGGTCATGGTTGACCTCCTGTAGATCTGTGATCCTTCAATGTAATTTTAGCGATAATTATCTACATATTTATAGCAGCACCTAGAATTAACAGGGTTTAGCCGACTCCTGTGACCATAAAACGTTTGAGAATCGTGAGTCAATAAGTTCCATTTTTGCTGTGTTTCGAGATTCGACGGTCTATTGTTGCGTAATATAAGAAATAATGACAAGCTCAACGGACAAAATAAAGTAGCAAAGTGAACTAAGATGAGGAATAAAAGGGAGCAAGGGATAGAGTCATGGAATATAAGTATTTTGAGCTAATATGTATTTTTTAAGAATCCCGTTAGACTACGCTCCGAAATATGAGGTTCTGATACTTTATAGCATAGACGTAAAGTGTCAGTACATATTTTGATAACATGACTCCTAATTTGTCTTGTAAAATATCAACCAGTCATCTCTTAGCATTCCATCCATGTGCTATTTTAGGTCATTTCCAGTTTTATCATTTTGACTATCCGAGATAGACGTAGTTTGGCAGACTAGCATTGATACTGGGTGATGACTGAAGGTGAAATGGAGATATGCACCCCATTTGCACTCGAACGAGCGACCACCGGGTTTCCGTCCCGATGTGAAATAAAAATCTCATCAACAGTCGAACCTTGTAGCTCAGTTCGAAGAGCACCGGTACGGAAACCCGCTGGTCGCCGGCTGGAACCTGACGACCGTCCCAATTTTCATTTCCAGTTTTGCCAAGAATCTCCACAAAAACAGAGGCTAATGAAGATTTCATAGCTGCTACGTCAACATGCCAGTTAAAACTAGTAATGAAAAGGAACTGTACATTTTAGAAGTAGTTTCTTGAAATTCATAAGATCAAGAACTCTCTTCACTATTACTATAATTCGTTAATAATATTACATTAAGTATGATTTCGTCTCAACTATTTTATACATCGACCATTTCATTATCAACAGCGCACTCCATTTGCATTACCCTTCACCTCATTCATATCATTTCCCCACATAGTATGACTTCCCCCATCCCCCTATTGTCTACACTTGTCACGATTACTTATCATCGTTCTTTTGATAGCACCTAATATCACATTCAATTCACTATAAGTACGTAAGCCATCTTAACATTGATAAGTTTAGAACTGGTCTGCTTACAGTCCCTAACTCACAATCCATTTCGAGAAATGTATTTATCACAAGCTTGACCTGTATTATGTTGAGTGATTCCATTGTAGGATTGCAGAACCTGAAGGAAATCTATTGAGAAGAATATTCTTCGTTCATGCTGTCTTTTTAGAACTACAAAATAGAGTATTACCCTAGGTGTGTGACTGTGGCCAATAAATTGTTCCAAGTGTTACTCAGTAAATAATACTGTTTCATTTTGTGAAATATCCGACGCACAAATTACCGTGAAGTTATGCACTACCATGGTGTTTTAGTTCTAAAGTTAAGTTAATCAGAGTCCTTTTTGACTGGAATTTCAACTGGTAGTAAATTGTAAATATTTCGCAGTACTTCAACAATGAAACTCATAACTATGATTTACTGTATCTCAACAAGGCAAGTAAACTAGTGTCACTCAGTGTTAAGGTGCATTACCAGGTAACCTTGTTATAATTCCTTAATCCCCTTAAGTGTATCTCAAGGGTACTTGCAAATAAACTGTAATTTCGGAAGTCACTAAATCGTCGATACTGTTAGTAATGCCCATATCCCTTATATTCCATACTAACAGTTCGTATATATTTGAACTGATTTATTTGTGTATAGGTCATATTTCGTATGACCTGCTATTGTTCTGATTCGTTCCTGCCTCTTTAAATGCACTAATTATTACTTGTCTTTCAAGGTTACTGTAAACTCTATAAATAGGGTTCGTTTCCACTCATAAAAGTTTTCAGTCCGAGATACTATAAACTCATCTAATTTCCAGTCTTTTGATTTCTCTTTGCGAATCATTCGGGTTGAATCGTCTCTACCCTCGACAATCAGTCGTTCAGTATTGTGAGAACGAACGGAAATACGTTCTGATGTTAGGGGTGCAGTAAAATTTTGCAGAACCATAGCGTGATGTGTATTACGTTCCATAAGTGCTTCTGTAGGTGATTGCTGATTTGGTACCGTTCCGTTCGGAGTGGTACGGTACGCGAAGGGGAATTGTAAGTTTTCAGCGGAAGTCCCTTCGTCTTTTGCTTCCAACATACTTCTTTTGAAGGTATCCACGAAACGTTCTGCCTGGCCGTTCAACTGTGGGTGATACAGTAGTGAGCGGATGTGGATGATGGAGTGCTGTTTGCAGAAGTTATCGAATTCGTGGGAGGTCAACTGCGGACCATTGTTAGTGACGATAGTTTCTGGTAGTCTTTGGTGGCTGAAGACATCCGTCAAACAGAGTAATGTCATCGTTGTTGATGGAATGATAATAGGTACAATCTCCGGCCATTTCGAAAATACATTCACGAGAACCATGTAAGATGTTCCATCGGTCGGGCCAGC